TTTATGAATTTTGTTTCATTTCGATGTTGTGTTGTGATTGCAATGTTGTGAATATAACGATGAATGTGAAGAGATTTCTTGATGTAACGATGTTGTGATGATGTATGTACTATGATATGTGCTTGGTGGCCTGTATTGACTTATTCTGTTGTTTTGATGTAATTGCGAAGTTGTGAATATGATGATGGAATCGATGAAATTGATATTTTGATTGAGTACGATGATGTTGCATGAATGTTTTGATTGTGTGAGATGATATGCATGATAATGATGACGACGATGGCCTGTATTAGCGTGACATTGATAGGTAAGAACAATCAATGTGAAATTAAGTTGTTGCATGTCAGTGTCGCATGCATTCATAAAGCGAAGGCTTGTATTGGCGAGCGAAGACCTGTATTGGCGAGCAAAGTTCTGTATTGGCGAGCGAAGTTGATTGCCTTAAATTGGCATGATTGTGATGAGGGTTTTACCTTGTAGGTACTACATGCATTGAATCAGTGTCGGTCTTTTGCATCATATTGTGATTGATAATTCGATGGATGAATATTGTTGAAAGTATGTATTATATTACGATGAATATTATGTGTCGATTATGTACTTGAATCTTTACGTGCTCATTATTATGCTTCCTCTTATATTGTTATGATATATCATCCTTTCTGTTTGAATGTTACATCCACGCGGGTAATGTGCAGATGATCCGAAGTAGCTAGAGGTCGAAGTTTAGCTGAGGAGTTCCTTCAGTTGCGTAGATTGAGTCGGGTCTGCTCTGATACGTAACACTTGGGTGTTTCGCGTGATTTGCTTTGTTATGTTAGGAGTGAATATGTATTTCTCCGTTGTTTGAATTGTTTTATGATTATGCTGATATTTGAAAGATAATAATTATGACTCCGGTTGGAGAATTGAGATGACTATTTATTGAAGTTTTTCCGCTGCAAATAAATGTGTTAAAGTTTATGACTTATGAGCATGCGATTTGTATTGCGTATCCTAATTTTGAGCATGTGTGATTGGTGAAGTATGTGACATCCTATTTGGTTGATGTTTATTTAGAAATTAATTTACTCCGATTATTATATAAATTAACGACGGAGAAATGGGGTGTTACAATTAGCACTTACATAGAACATGGCAGAAGCTTCTATCTATTAAACACAGACAGAAACCAGAAATACATTTTCTGTTACGTTCAACTACAAACCGGAAATATACATCAGGTTTCGCATAACCTTTTACCACAATGAAAAACAGATTAATGTATAGAATGAGGATTGAAATGATTAAACTTTATCTTAAATTCCACTTCCTTGAACTCCTTTTGATATGATGAATCACAAAAATGAAGATTTAGAATGGAAAAATAAATTGAGAATAGAAGGGTTTTTGAGAGATTTTGTAGAAAGAAGAAGAAATGGTTGATCAAAGATTGACAATGTTGGTTACTGTTTTAAGCATTATCAATTTTCCATAATACCGGAAGTATGCTTCTGGTTATGTACGAAGTGACAAGGTGGCAGAAAAAATTAACCCTCCCGCTCTAAAAACCAGAAACATAATACCGGTACAGAATCGGAAGTATATCTCTAGTTTTATTTTTTACAATTTGAAAGATAAAATCATATTTGACCTGTTTTGTAAAATATGGTGCGAACTGAAAATGCATTTCTGATTTTTGAGGAAGCATTTTTAAAATTGCAAAGGATATTTCTTTTAAGCATGAGGTGAAATAAAAAATGTCATTGATTATTTCATTCACGTGTGTTCTCTGAAATATTCTCCCCTTTAGCTAAAATGCCCTTCATTTATCTGTTCTTTGTACATTTGTTCCATCAACCATTGGTTATTTCACCAGTTAGATGTTATATCCTCTTGGTTTTGGGTATGACTAGAACTTAAAAAAGTTGAGGCGAGACTTGATTCTAGTTAGTGGTCAACTCCATTATCTATATCGTCAATGCCCAATTCTAACTTCTGCATATGAATTTGAAACTGCAATACTGCATCAACCTTTATGAATTCATTTGTTTCTGATTGTTGTGAATTACATTATATTCTTTTAGGACGCGACGACTTTGATATTGCTAACCATTTTCTCTTCTTTAACACTCCTTTTGGGCCAATGATAAGCAACAACAAAGACTCTAATAAGTTAACTGTGACACTTTCTATTTCTTTTTAGATACTAAGCATTGAAAAAGTCTCATTGTCTTGGTTTTTCGGAGAAGTTAACTTTGAACTTTATGTTTCCAAAAGCTTTTGCAATTGCTTTCCTCATTTTTCTTCCTATATGCTGCAAGTATTTATCACCACCTACATCTAATAGTTCTTCAACCTTTTTCTTGTGGCAATGCTTGTTGGGTGATTTTCAGTTGGAGCAGCTTATCATTTCTCTCTTGCAAATCCTAAAGGCCATTGAGTGTTTAAGTTATTAAAGATGATGACCAAGAAGCAGTGGCTTCAGAATCCTTCAATCTTTTTAGATTTAACTCAACTAGTCCTTTTGCGTTTGCTCTACCACAACTGCAATTTTTTTGTCATAAAATAAGGATAGCAGCTATAGAAGATGAGAATACAAATAATGGGTAGTTGATAGATTCTAAATATATAGAAAATAACTAGAGGAGACACAAAGCATATTTTTTATGTTCAAATTCCACTAGTTCTTGGCTACGACAGTAGTGTTTGCTTAATGCTGCTTCCCAACACACCCCTCAATTTAAAACTCTGGAATCACATGAATATAGCATCTGGCAATAAGATATAATAAAACTCCAAGGGGGCATGCATGTGATGAGAGTGCATGTACATGGAAAGTGGATCATGTGTCTGTTGGATCACAAGCAGTTCTGTTTATAAATAACTTGTTAAGATATTTTTTTGATCATGTTCCTCCAACATACACAGGCCTAACAGTACCGAAGTTGTTGCTTTACACACGTGAAGATAGTCATTGTTTATGATTAAAACACATCTTTTTAGTGAAGCATTTGCATTGAAGATCTTATAATCATGCAAATGCAAGAGTATGAGTTGGGGAGATTCCTTGGAGGAGACACAACTCTAACATTTATGTAATAATGTCTGAATTCGAATCTCGATTAGTTATGTGATTAAGATGAGATTCCTTATGTCGCCTAACACCTATAATATATATTGAGAAGATGCCAACGGAAAATAACAGACTCAATTCAACATTCAAATCAAGGCTTCTCTTTCTCTTCTCTTGTGCAAAAAAATGGCAGCTTCTTCTCCTTTGAACATAAAATCCAATTTCCACGGTCGCTCAATCAGCTTGCCCTCTAGACCACACCCCGTATTTCTTAAATGCAGTGAACATTTGGAGACCTTATTAAAGTCTTCAAATGAAACCTTCTCCTCATCGTTACTTTTCCATAAGATTGATGGTTTGCGAGATTTGATCGAGTGTGTTGAAAAATTGATTCAGCTTCCACTCACTCAAGAAGCACTTATCCATGAACAACAAGGAAATTGGGTAAATAACCTGTTGGATGGATCCTTAAGGCTTTTGGATGTGTGTAGTGCAGCGAAAGATGCTGTAATTCATACAAAAGAATGCACAAGGGAACTTCATTCCATCATAAGAAGAAGAGGAGGCGGAACTGAGGTCACTGCAGAGGCTAAGAAATTCTTAACATCTAGAAAGGTTGTGAAAAAGGCCATCTCAAGAGCCTTGACAAATCTGAAGGTTACTACCAAACACTGCAACATGTTATCTACAAACAAAGATCATCAATCAGTGGCTTTAATTAACTTACTCCAAGATGTTGAAGTAGCTACACTTTCTACATTTCAAAGAATATTGCAATATATCTCAGGGACCACACATTCAAAATCAAACAGTTGGGGTTCCATTTCGAAGCTAATTCAACCCAGAAGAGTTGCTTGCTCTCTAGTGGCAGATGAAAGTGAATTTTCCCAAGTGGATGTAGCATTGCAATCTTTTGTAATTACCAAGACTATAAAACTTGAAGGCGTCAATGATCTCCAAAACCACTTGGAGAAAACAGAATGTTGCATTCAAGACTTAGAACAAGGGCTTGAGTTTCTTTTTAGGCGTCTCATTAAAATCAGAGTCTCACTTCTTAATATCCTTAACAATTAGTAGAGGATTCATGAGGATCAAAATTTTGTAGGGATATAGATACACTTGTACATGGAAATTATATGTGTAAGTAAATGCATAACAATAATAAAGCGATACTTTTTCTTAATTTCACGTTTCAATATCCTTTTAAACCTGATGATCATTTACTAACGGGTAGAACTATTAAATCATGACAATAGATACTTGGTTTATCTAACAAAAACATTGAACTCAAATGTTAAATTGACGCTATCTAAATGAATTGTATTACTTATGAACCTGCATTAATCACTCTAACATTCATTCCAGTTTAACTACCTCAACGTCTTTATGATAGAACAATTCAGTTCAATTATACAATCCAGTTTAAGTATGGAATTTGAATGCATATCTAGCTAATTGGAATTTGGATTCATGTCTATACAAGCTATCTATTTAGTAACTTTGATACTTTTAGTATATTTTGAAGATAGATGCTAGATGAGAGAGAATAATAGAGAGATAGATAGAAAGTTAAAAAAAATCAAAGGTAGCTAACTAATCTTGTGGTCTGGTAGAAGAAGGAAGAAATTTGTTCGATACTATGAAGCACAAGTATGTTATAAATCCAGGGGTTGAACATTACTCTTGCATGGTTTACCTTTTTGCCATTGCTGGATGTTTTAGAGAAGCAATGTATCTTATTGAAGAGAAGCCTTTTTAGGCTGATGCAATCATGTCGTTATCCGTATTAAGAGGCTGCATATCCTTTGAAAACAAGACTATTGGGAAAGTAACTAATTAAGACTTACTTAGTACTTTGCATTCATCCCTCACCACCACCAACAGCCTCCTCCAATTATACTCCCGCCGCGGCTCTCTCCAAAATGCATCTAAACTGTTCGACGAAATGCCGCAAACAAATGCTTTCTCGTGGAACACCCTCATCGAAGCCCACATCAACTCAGGCAACAGAAACAAGTCGCTGCAATTGTTTAATGCCATGACACACAAAACCCACTATTCCTGGAACCTTCTTGTTTCAACGTTTTCCAAATCTGGTGACCTTCAACTAGCTCACACCCTCTTCAACGCCATGCCTCTAAAGAACCCCCTTGTCTGGAATTCCATCATTCACGGTTATTCTAGATACGGGCATCCCAGAAAAGCGCTTTTACTCTTTAAGGAGATGAATTTAGACCCTTTAGAAACGGTACACCGCGATGCCTTTGTGTTGTCAACCGTTTTTGGTGCATGTGCTGACTTGTTTGCTCTTGATTGTGGGAGACAAGTTCATGCTCGTGTTTTCATTGATGGTTTTGAATTCGAATTTGACAAGATTTTGTGTAGTTCGATAATTCATTTTTATGGGAAATGTGGTGATTTGGGTAATGCTGCTCGGGTTATGGGTTTTGTGAAGGAATTTGATGACTTTTCCTTATCTGCTTTGATATCAGCTTATGCAAATGCTGGTAGAATGAGAGATGCAAGAAGGGTTTTTGATAACAAGGTTGATCCTTGTTCTGTGCTGTGGAATTCAATTATTTCGGGTTATGTGTCTAATGGTGAGGAAATGGAGGCAATGGCTCTCTTCAACTCAATGCGTAGGCATGAGATTTGGGGAGACTTCTCTACTGTTGCAAATATTTTGAGTGCTGCTAGTAGCTTGCTCAATGTTGAACTTGTTAAGCAAATGCATGGCCATGCTTTTAAATTTGGGGCAACTCATGATATTGTGGTTTCTAGTGCTCTGCTTGATGCATACTCCAAGTGTCAACACTCTCGTGAAGCTTGCAAATTTTTTAGTGAGCTCAAAGCTTATGATGTAATATTGCTTAATACTATGATTACCGTGTATTGTAATTGTGGAAGAATCGAAGATGCAAAGTGGATTTTTAACACAATGCCTAGTAAAACCCTGATTTCATGGAATTCAATCTTGGTTGGCCTTACCCAGAATGCATGTCCAAGTGAGGCGTTGAATACTTTTTGTAAGATGAATAAGCTGGATGTGAAAATGGACAAGTTTAGCTTTGCCAGTGTTATCAGTGGGTGCTTGTGCTAGTAAGTCATCCCTTGAACTAGGTGAGCAGGTATTTGCTAAAGCTATTACTTTGGGGCTTGAATCTGACCAAATCATTTCTACCTCACTTGTTGACTTTTATTGTAAATGTGGTCTTGTTGGGATGGGACGAAAAGTTTTTGATGGAATGACAAAAACTGATGAAGTTTCGTGGAATACAATGCTGATGGGATATGCGACAAATGGATATGGGATAGAAGCACTAACCCTTTTTAATGAAATGAGGTTTAATGTTGTGAGACCTTCTGCTATTACTTTTATTGGGGTTCTTTCTGCTTGTGATCACTGTGGTCTGGTAGAAGAAGGAAGAAATTTGTTCCATACGATGAAGCACGAGTATGCTATAAATCCAGGGATTGAACATTACTCTTGCATGGTTGACCTTTTTGCCAGAGCTGGTTGTTTTGGGGAAGCAATGTATCTTATTGAAGAGATGCCTTTTCAGGCTGATGCAAACATGTGGTTATCAGTATTAAGAGGTTGCATATCCTATGGAAACAAGACTATTGGGAAAATGGCAGCAGAGAAAATTATTCAGCTTGATCCTGAAAATTCATGTGCTTATATACAATTATCTAACATACTTGCAACTTCTGAGGACTGGGAAGGATCAGCAAAAGGAAGAGAGTTAATGAGAGATAAAAATGTTCAGAAGATTCCTGGTTGCAGTTGGGCAGATTGTTGAATGAGAAACTCTTCAGTTCCAGGCAAAGATTAATGAAAGTGAGGAGGATAACACTACGGTGAAATATGCTTGGAACTACCATTAGACTTCCATGTTTTTTGTACAATTCTCAGCACTGACTGACCAGTTTAAACTGGCTCGAGACAGTTTCTTGCAAACAATAAATGTCAATGCACTAACAGGAAGCTAGAGCTAAAAGCACAAGATTTTACTCAAAACACATACAATGCCTCGAGTGTCGAACAATATTATTTACCATAGGTGACTAAATTCTAAGCAATATAAAAAATAATGTTATGCTGTCTACTCCAAGTCTGAAGTCTAGTGCTTGTATAAAGATCAATCCCAAGATTGGTATTGTGTGGTGTAGTTATTTATTGACAGGAATGTGCTTTGAGGTTTAGAAATCTAGCTGATTTGAATTTGAATGCATGTCACCGTCCTTTTCACCGTCCTTGTGAATGATTGTTGTCCACAAATCTCCCCAAATGTTACAAAACCTCTAGATGGAGTTAAATCACATTTCCTAAGCTTTGATGCAACAAAGATAATCCTTTGATGTAGACGAGTTCGCTACAATTTGGGGTTTCGCTGAGAATAAAACAAAAAATGCATAGAAATACCATAGGTTGCAAGTGGATTTTCAAGGTCAAGGAAAATGAGTTTGGTGTTTCCATCTTGCATGTTTGTGAAGAATATGCTTTCATGAAGGTTTCACTCTCTTTCTGTCCACTCCTTATATTTTTTCATCTAGCTATATTCTTGAGTTGTTATATTTTTGCTGGACTTTCGACTGACATGTCCTTTGCTTGAGCAGGCTTTAGAAACATGTGGCTTTCCCGTTCCAAATGCTTTGGAACATAATCGACATTGTGTAATCATGTCACTCGTCCAAGGTTATCCTCTGTAAGTGCCCTTCTTTCATTTTGTTTCAACCATTAAATTTGTATAGGATCACATTCGCCTATACACATTCGTATTATATTTATCTCTTGATTTCCTGAACGAGATTAGTCAACTCTGATGGCGTTGGATATTGTAGTTGTATAATTGCCAAGTAATCTTAAGAGAGTTTATTTGTTTTGTGACCGTCAGAATTGTATAGCATTTGATACCAGGATTTTACATCTTGTTCCAGGATATGCTTGAGATTTGACCATTTGATACTTGCTTTTACATCTTATTCATGTAGAATATCTAGAATTGCTTAAGCAAGTTAGTTGTTTAATGACACTATCGTAGTCCTAAAAGCATTAGATGCACGGGCTTTAGTTGCAAAATTGCATGTAGTCGCTAGTGCTTTATATTGTAGTAGTACACAATCTCAGAAAATTGTGGTTATGGTTTGATGTAAAAAGATTAACCACTGAGCCTCACTCAACTCTCAATCTTAGTTAAATAAAACTAATCATGATAACTACTAGACTTCTAATCTTAATTAAATTTTGAAATATATTATAAAATCTAAAGAAACATGACGAAGAGAATACTAGATATTTTAAATTACTCCAAGGATAGAGTTCAAATATTATGAGGTGTTTTCGTATATTTTAGTTTTGCAATCTTTTGTTCTTAAGCTAGCTTTCGGTTTGGACTTTAAAGTTTGTACCACTCCCCCCTCGACATATTTTACACTGGTTTTGGTATTCAATTGTCTGAATTTGTATGCTTGTTTCTGCAAATGCAGGTTTCAGGTGAAGCAATTACAAAATCCAGACACCGTTTTTGAGACAATTATTGGTATAATTATTCGGCTGGCAGAGAATGGTATCATTCATTGTGATTTCAATGAATTTAACATAATGGTATGCTTGAATAACTTATGCTGACTTGTCAGTGTTATCGTTAAATAGAATGCTAACTATTTTTTCATTGCATATCAGTAATAAGCTTTCCGTCCATAGTTTATAAAAAATCAAGAATCTTTCATTAATAGTAGTTTGTTTACTCAAATACTTTTAGCAAATCAAACAGACCCTCAAGGTAAAAAAAGGAAACCTCATTTGTAGGTTACATAGCATACGACTTTTTCTTAGGTGCATACTCACATTGGGCTCCAAGAGCTGGCGAGATTTTGCTTCATCCAATGATCTGTTATGCATACCTACGCCTGTTCATTGTTTATTTTGGTAGACTGAGGCAGATTTGGTATTTGTAGGAATTACAATTGTATGTGGCACAGGAGGCTTTGCTCTCGATTTTAGGAATAACAACAACACCTTATCAAATGTATTCTAATTAGAGATGGATTCTAGTATTGCTTTTATACATTTATTTTATGTTTAGGTTCATAGTATCTTATACCATATCGATTTTGCACCTTCATAGAAAATCTGTGGTCTTACATTGATTGTAGACAAGTGGTTAATGAGCTTTACTTAAGAACGAGTCGTTCGGGAACACCTTAATGATATTAATTTTATTTGCAGGAGGAAAACAGTGACAATACAGTAGGAATTGAATCTGAACTCACTAACAGCTTGAGTAAGCAAAGACAATGTACTATAGCGTCATCTCATAGGGGACAGAAATCTTACAAAGACAAGGGTGGTAGGTCATCTCACAATTCTAAGATTCAAATGCAGATGAGCAGCTGGTGCAGTGGCGGAGCCAGCGTCCGGCCAGGTAGGGCAGCTGCCCAGGCTCCGCCCGACCATGCTTCACCATCTCGCGATGGAGATCTTCTATGGCCATCTTCCGACACACCATACCGTAAACAGATACACACCGCAACACCACTCTTGCCTTTCCGGTTTCCGTTTGTTAAATTGTAATTCATATGTGTCAAAAGAAGATTTGATTTGTTTAGATTTAAATAGATTTGAATTTAAATCTAGATTAGATTTGATTTAGTAAAGAGATATTTTGGGCTTGGGTTTAGCTTAGGGAGCAAGCTAACCTAAATCTATAAATAGAGGGAGTAACCCATATTTTGTAATCAAGTCATTCACAGTATTTTGCAGTTGCAAAGTGAATAATAAAGATTCCACAGTTTGTGGGCAGAATAGAAATTCTGCAGAAATATCTCCATTGTTCTTTTATTTGTTTGTCATAACTAATCATCAGTGGTGGTCGAAATTCATCATAAAGTATTGGTGGATTTCCAACATCTGGTATCAAGAGCTTGTGTTACGATTCAAGGGAAGTATCAATCAAGAACGATTGAAGAATTCACGATGACAAGTTATGGGAATGCAAACTATCCAGCAACGTTGCCAATTCTGAAAGTTGACAACTATGAGAATTGGTGCAAGCAGATGAAAGTCCTATTAAGGTGTCAAGGCCTTTGGGACCTTGTAAAAGATGGAGTCGAAGCGCTTGGCGAAAACGCTTCAGAAGAAGAAAAGAATAAATACACAGAATCTGAGAAACAGAGTTATAAAGCATTGTTTATAATTCATCAATGTGTCAGCCCAGACAACTTCGAAAAGATTAGTGATTCAGAATCTGCAAAAGAAGCTTGGGAGATCCTGGAGAAATCTTTTGGAGGCGCTGAGAAGGTGAAAGAAGTGAGGTTACAAACTCACAAAAGAATCTATGAACTGCTTCAGATGGAAGACAGTGAAAACATATCTGATTTCTTCACTAGAGTTACAAAACTAGTGAATCAAATCAAGACATGTGGAGAAACATTAACAACAAGAGTTGTTGTTTCGAAGATCCTGAGATCCTTAGCTCCTAAGTTCGACCACATAGTGGTGGCGATAGAAGAGGGGAAAGACTTGTCGAAATTGACAAAGGAAGAGCTTCAAGGGACGCTCGAATCTCATGAACAAAGAATGAACGAAAGAGCTGCAGGAAAATCGAAGAGTGATGTGGCCTTGCAGGCACATTCAGCAAAAGAGACCAAAGGCAAAGGAAAGTATTTCGACAGAAGTAGAGGTGACTACAACAAATCGAATGGTAGAGGAAACCAAATCGAAGGAGACGTGTCGAATCAAAGAAGACCACACCAAGGCAACCAAAGAGGTGGTGCTGCAAACAGAGGAAGAGGTGGTGGTCGAAAACCTGATAAGAGTCACATTCAATGTTACAATTGTCAGAAGTATGGTCACTATTCGAGTGATTGTCCAGAAAAACGAAAGAATCAAGAAACTGATGCAAAGCTTGCAAAACATGAAGAAGAAGAAGAGATGATGCTGATGGTCACAACAAGAGATGAAGACAGATTCAAGGACCAATGGTACTTGGATTCAGGATGTTCATCACATATGTCTGGAAAGAAAGACTGGTTCGACAATATAAAACCCTCAACGAAGAATATGGTAAAATTTGCAAATGACAACACACTAGCAGCTGAAGGCATTGGTGATGTTATGATCATGAGGAAAGATGGTAAGAAGTCAGTAATTTCGAATGTATTGTACATACCAGGCATGAAGAGCAATTTGCTCAGCATAGGGCAGTTGGTCGAAAAGAATTATAAAGTGTCAATCGAAGATAAGTTGATGAGAGTCGTTGATGCAAATGGGAGATTAATCTTGAAGGCTCCTATGTCTCAGAATCGAACCTTCAAGATTGAACTAAATGTGATGGAGCACAAGTGCCTTTCGACTGCAGCTAGCAGAGATGAATGGATATGGCATTATAGACTTGGTCATCTCAACTTCAGAGACATCAGAGATTTGAAGAGAAGAAATATGGTTTCAGGATTGCCTGAAATTGACATTCCAAACGAAGTATGTGAAGAATGTGTGCAGGCGAAGCAACACAAGAACAGCTTCAACAAGGATGCAGGAAGCAGATCGAAGGCTAATCTCGAAGTTATATACTTTGATGTATGTGGACCAATCCAGGTGGATTCGATGGGAGGTAACAAATATTTTGTTACATTCATAGATGATTTCAGTCGAAAGCTATGGACTTACCTGATCAAGAAGAAAAGTGAAGTGTTCGAAGTATTTATCAAGTTCAAGTCCATGGTCGAAAGACAAAGTGGTCGAAAGCTCAAAGTTTTGAGAACTGATGGTGGAAGAGAATATGTGTCGAAAGATTTCGACAGATTATGTGAAAAAGAAGGGATTGTGCATGAGGTGGTGCCACCCTATACTCCACAGCAAAATGGAATTGCAGAAAGGAAAATCGAACCATAATGAACATGGTGAGAAGTATGTTGAAAGGCAAGAATTTACCCAAAGAATTCTGGGGAGAAGCTGTTTCGACTGCAACATACATTTTGAACAGAAGTCCTACAAAGAAGCTAGAAGGAATTACTCCAGAAGAATGTTGGTCTGGTGTGAAGCCTAGCTTAAGTCATCTGAAAGTATTTGGATCTATTGCACATAGACATGTGCCAGATCAGTTGAGAAAGAAACTTGATGACAAGTCAAGTCAAATGATCTTAGTTGGATATCATTCGACAGGAGGCTACAAATTGTTCGATCCAGAGAACAAGAAGATTGTGATCAGCAGGGACGTGATCATAGATGAGTTCAAAGAATGGGATTGGACTGCAAATGTCAAGAAAGATTCAATGGGAATCTTATTCGAAGAGCCAGAAACTCAAGTCGAAAGAGAAGTTCGACAAGAGGAGCCAGCAGATATACCCAGTACAAGCAGACCTCAAAGAACAAGACGCATGCCTGCAAGATTGCAAGATTGTGTGATTACATCAGATGATGTAATAGATGATGAAGGTGAGCTAGTACATTATGCTTTCTATGCAGATGTCGAACCTGTTAATGCAGCTGAAGCATTAAAGGATTCGAAGTGGGTGAAAGCAATGAATGAAGAAGTAAAGTCTATCGAAGACAACAACACTTGGTCACTTGTCGAATTGCCTCAAGGCAAGAAGGCAATTGATGTCAAGTGGGTATACAAAGTGAAGACTAATTCGAAAGGTGAAGTAACTCGACACAAAGCAAGACTTGTGGCGAAAGGATTTCTACAAAAAGAAGGAATAGACTTCGACGAAGTTTTTGCACCTGTTGCTAGGATCGAAACAATCAGGTTGGTTGTTGGTCTAGCAGAAATCAACAGTTGGCACATATGTCAGATGGACGTGAAGTGTGCATTCCTAAATGAACCCGTAGATGAAGAAGTCTATGTTAAACAACCAGTTGGATTTGTGAAACATGACGAAGAAAGAAAGGTGTACATGAGACATCATGACGAAGGGAGTGCAAGTCGAAGTATTCAGAAAGCTAAGGGCCATGATGAACATAGACAGTTTAGACACAATGAATTAGGTGGTGTGTTAAATTGTAATTCATATGTGTCAAAAGAAGATTTGATTTGTTTAGATTTAAATAGATTTGAATTTAAATCTAGATTAGATTTGATTTAGTAAAGAGATATTTTGGGCTTGGGTTTAGCTTAGGGAGCAAGCTAACCTAAATCTATAAATAGAGGGAGTAACCCATATTTTGTAATCAAGTCATTCACAGTATTTTGCAGTTGCAAAGTGAATAATAAAGATTCCACAGTTTGTGGGCAGAATAGAAATTCTGCAGAAATATCTCCATTGTTCTTTTATTTGTTTGTCATAACTAATCATCAGTGGTGGTCGAAATTCATCATAAAGTATTGGTGGATTTCCAACACCGTTCAATCAATTATCGGTGAGCATCACCTTCCTCCGCCGATTCTTTCTTCTTCTTGCTTCTGTTTCAATTCATATCTCCTACATCATTGTTGTTGTTTTGTTATTTGTTGTTGTTGTTGTTGTTGTTGCAGGTTGTGGTGTTGAATTTGTTGTTTCGTGCTATGTCCACCAAGTGTTCGGTAAAATTTCTGAACGAATATTTTTCTTATTGGGCATCCTAGAATCCAATCCAGAGAGTATATCAACTTTTCTATTGGACTACTGGAAAATTACAAAAACTATCAATTTAAGTTAATGATAAATATTATGTGTAAAATTTATCCGTTTAAATGTGAAACATATGTGTCCATTAATTTGACTCTTCTACTTCTATTGATGTCTTATTGTACATGCAGGGAGTACTTCTGGATATTTGAAATGAATGAAGATTCTGGATATGTGAAAAATCTCAGTTAGTAACACCCAGAGACACGAAATATAGAAGTCAAGTGTGTGTAGAAAGGTTCTATCGTCAGCGTCGAATTCGTTGAAGTCTTCGTTGCCTATGGTACTTATCTTGTGATCCTTCTTTTCTTAGAGATATAGCTTTGATGAAATGTTTAATGATTAATATTAATGACTGGCGTCTTTGTTGTGTTTGCTTAATTAATTGAACTAAATAAAAATGAATTAGACATTTCTGTGTCAAGATTATCTTGGTTTATTTTGTTAATAATGATTTTTATTGTTTGGTGTATTTTTCTCTTGTGAATAAATCAAAGGTTTAAGTGTGTGCAACTTATTTCAATATTATTGTTATAGTTTGTCATGGAATATTTTTTCATTGTATTGTTTCAACTTATTTGAATGTGCTTGTAAACCAGTATATTATTTCAGCTTTTGTATTGTTTAATTTTCATTGTAGTATACATGCTTATGCATTTGAATTACTCTGCATTCTATTTCAAAGTTACTACTATATACTAATCTCTGCATTGTGCATTTGAGTTCCAGTTAACTATTAATTGTTTTCTGCATTCAGAATTCTACATACTAGCGTATACTAATTTCTGTTATCTGTTTTCTATTTCTTATATTCTGCATTTGATTAACTCTGTATTTTGTTTCAAAGATACAATTACTAATGTATACTAATCTCAGCCTAATACTAAGTGTATGTAGTTTTAGGCATAATCTGTGATATACTAAAGCCCAAGCTCCATTATTATCTGTTACGATTCGTCAAAAATAATTATGTCAAATACGGTTTTGGTAGAAAATTATGAAGTCAGTGGTGGAGCCAGTGAAAACTTGCCCATGTTTCATAATTTTTCTGACTCCGTAGTTGCTACATGCAGTTATAGAAATTGAGTTTAAGAAATGAGAAAACTTACTGCATGAACTATATTTTGTTTATACATATGATATGAGTTTTATGTCACTGATTAATCTCTGTGAGTTAATTGATCAAGTGATTTTGTGCTCTTGTGTAAATTAGGTTTGATTGGGTCATTATTGTGAATGGAAAGAAGGAGAAAATAGCTTCAGGTTTGTTCAACCCCTTTCACTGCCACTTGAAGGTTGCTCAAGATCAAATGGCAAAGGTTGGTTATTCAATTGTTCTTGTGCCTGAGCACGAAAGCGATGCCACATGGTTTTCCAGAGGAAATATTGAAAGGTATGGTTTGTTATCATAATTTTTTATTTGTTGATAACTTAGATTGGCATATCTTGGAATCATTGTTGTTAAATAGCAGTTATAGCTATTGTACTATAATGTAGCGGAGTTTGATCACATCCTTATTGTTTTTTGTTATGCTACTTAGTACAATGTGTTCTCAAATAGTGGCTCTACAACATTGTAGCATACCAGAATTTTAACAAACCACCATTTCTCCGATCTGCATTTGACAATATTATTTGGAATTTGAATTGATAGTGGTGTTTTTAAGCCGTACTTAATTTCTCACAAATGAGCGTGTTGAACTAATTTTCTCGGCTTTTATAGGTTTGTTCATTTTGTGAGCACACCTGAAATACTGTAACATGTATATATTATAAAATCCGAAATCTTACAAATTGAAGAGGCAATTGCAATTCAAGAAAATAATTCCTTTGGGATTAGCATTGTACTATCTTGGTAGAAAATTATGAAGCCAATGAAAAGTTGTCCAGGCTTCATAATTTTTCTAGCTCCGCTACTGAGCTGGTGAGATATATGGAAGACAAAACTCATGTGAAGTGAACTAGAAAATACTGAATATTGCATCTATTAGAAGGGCTAAGTTTTCTGTTTAAAATTCAACAGAAAGTCAGGAGGTAGGAAAGATGCATTGATTCGGTTTTGAGTTGTACAGAAAGTTATAGTCTTACAATTTGAATGTTGGTCTTATCAGCCTAAGGTCCTACTAACAAACAACAGCCTTAAAAGGAAGATTGAAATCTAACTTAAAGTTTCAACCATTTCGACAATTATAATTTCAGAACGTCACTACATATATGCTTTAGTTCGAATAAATTCATACTAATTAAATTATTTTTTATTATTTATTTATTTATTTGTTTATTTAATTTCCCTCTTCAACCTGTCTACGCTTTCTTTTCGATATATCCATATAAATAATATTTAATTTTCGTCTTAATTGTTACTAATTTAATGGTAGTGCATTGTTATTGTAAAAATGTATTATACATACATTTAATCAAAAAATTTAAAATATTAAATTATATATCCGTTTTAAAATGAGTGTTGATTAAGTTTTTATACACAGATTAAATAATGTAATAATATTGTTATAAGACATTGTATTTTTACTAAATTAATTTTATAAATGTATTGAAATGAGTGTATAAAATAATAATTAAAAGCCACAATTAAAAAATAATAATCATTACTATATTTGAAAAATAAAAATAACTTTTGAAAATAAATTTTATTTATTTATTGTGAAACAGAGGAAGTGAGTAATTTAAAATTTACTGTTTTAATGGAATATATAGTTGTAGTGTAAAAACTGCACCATCCCTTTTTTTTTATGGTGTAATTAATTCCTTTTCAAGTTCAAAATATTTTTCTATGGGTCTCAATTATTCTTTAACATGCTGATCACGTTATTCTTCATCAAAAATATTTTATTCTTTTACATACTATTTTCGAGTGCTCGTGATATGGATCGGTCCGGTTCAGCCTGTTTTGGTCGGTGGATCAAAATATATAAATGGATTGAAATAGACCGGCTTGATTGTTTAATAAATTATAGAAAATGACTTCGATTCAATTTTTAAAGGTTCGTGCAGTCTGATAAATCAATCTGATTCATCTCTCAATATTATAATTTTAATTTTATAAAAAAGATATAATAGATAAAAACTACGTAAATAAGTAGAGAGTTATTATATATATATATATATATATATATATATATATATATATATATATATATATATATATATATATATATATATATATATATATATATATATATATATATATATATATATATATATATATATATATATATATATATATATATATGAATTCAAATAGTTATCACAAAAAATTAATTCAAATTATATTTTTAGAAACAAAATATTTAATAAAATTTTAAAATAATAATATACAAAAAATTTCTATACATGACACTTATTATATAATAGTTAATAAATAAAAATATTTGTTCGTTATATCCAAAAATTAAAATTATATAATAATCTAACTGGTTAGTAAAATTATATGTTAATTAAAATTATAAGTAAAATAATATATATTTGATAACAATAATATATTTCTCAAAAACGTTTATGTTTATAATTTTTGTATAAAAAAACAATTGAAATAGATATAAACTAATTAAAAACTCAAATTAATTTTTTTTTAGATTTTTGAATATGTATTTTATAATAATTATGTTAGCTATAAAAAAATATTTTAGTTTTAAGATTTAAATATTTATTAGCTTGAAATAAAAAAAATAGAAATTAATTTATTAATTAAAGTTGTTGATATTATTATTTATTAATTAGAAGAAAAAAAACTTATATTATTATATAAAATTATATTATTTTTATTGTATTCAAAAAAATATAAAAATTAAAACTACATATATAATATAAATCATTAAGATAATATAAAGTAATACAAAAACGAGTTTTATCATTATACAAAAATAATATTTATTAAATATAAAATACCAAGAAAAAATTTATAAAATTATTTTTATTATTAAATAATTATGTTAGTTTTTATTTTATTTTTAATATAACAATAATATATACATTAGTAGTAAGTATTTTTGAATTAATATATAAATTATATTAATTTTTTAATTAATTTAATAATTGCAAAAAAATATTATAATACAAAAATAATATTTATTTAATATAAAATACCAAGAAAAAATTTATAAGTTTATTTTATGATTAAAATTCAATAAAAGAATATTTCAAATGATTAAAATTTATAAGTTTATTTTATAAGTTTATTTTATGATTACATAGTAATTTATTATTATCATCAATACTCGATCATACCTGGTTTTTAGTGATGATGGTTCTTATTTTTCTGGTTATAAGTGTGTTTAGGAAAGCTTAAAGATGCAGAAAAATAAATAGACACGGGCGATATATCCTGATTCCCGTCACAGTCCGAGAGTACTCCAGTCCCCTTTCAACATGAAAGAGATTTCCTTATTGTGGCAAACTTACATAAGAACTACCAACCAAACCAAGAACAATCCTCTTGGATTTTCACTAAGTTACCTATGAGAACAATCCTCTCAATGTAACAACACTTGTATCCAACAACTTGAAAAGACAAGATTTCAACAAAAACACTTAAACTTAATTCCAACAATCCTGGAAAATAAGTAAGTAAATATCAATTTGTGAGTTTGAGTGAGTAGAGTATATTGATCACTTAAGAGTGATTTTGACAATGTATAATCTTCTTCTTTCAATAATAATATTGTACAAAGACTCAAGATATATTTGCTCAAAGTTTTCTGTTTAAAGTATGAAAATAAATGCAGAAAACTTATGCATGAAAATGAAGAATGCTTGAGTTTGTATTTTGAAAGTTCAGAAAAATATTATGAAAGAAGGTGTTTGATATGAATTTGAAATTGAGTATTTATATGTTCATAACACCCTTTTGAAATAACATGAAGATCTGGAAATGTATCATGAACAAATGCCAAGTTTGAGTGAAAAGATGTAATGAAAAGGCATGATCAAAAGGCATGAACAAAGCTGTAATTTTTCAAATTCGTGCAGTGTGTAATCGATTGCACCTCTAGTGTAATCGATTGCACAAGGTTTTTAACAGCTATATTTTCAAAATTTTAAGAGTGCAATCGATTTCATCAACAATGTAGTCGATTGCATGCTAAGTCAGTATCAAAATTTAACTGATTGCAATCGATTGCACCAACTATGTAATCGATT